ATGCTAAGTCTATGAGACGCAAAAAATTAAGAGTCCCTCCAGAACTGCAAGCACTATCTCAAGCAAATATTGACAATTATTCACACTGTCATTACTTGCAGCAATAGCCGATGTAGTGAAGCAACCAAGTTGGGGGGGGGGGTTGAATGCTCTCATTAAGGAGGCCAGACTTGGTGGAGGTGGTTGACAGGGGCGAGCTGCAGGCTATTGAAGGCTGCTCTGCCCCCTGCTGTGCTCTTTGCTTCAGTGTGACCCTAACCCCCCCCCCCCCTCGAAATTTTCAACCCTCCCCAAAAAAATTTCTGGCTACAGCCCTGAATACAAGTGAAAAGTACTCATTTGCTTCCTCCTATTTCTATCTGCCATGTGTTTAAAACCACAATTATCTAACTGTTTAGCTGTAGCCATTGTTACCAAACAACAATTGGCCAAAAATCAAGGCAATCTGTGGTGGTTTGACATAAACAGTTGCCTGATCTTATGCCTGGTAGCTATGGATTATCAGATACCCATTTTCTACCTCATCAAATGGGCTGATTTGCCTGTTGTACACTGCTTCACCTCTATTTTTGGCACAGAGCCCTTTTGCATGGCACACAGGCATTTCCAGTCAGGCTCCATGCCAAACAGAGAAAGAAAGCAGTGCATACCGCCACAACACAGGAGCTTTCTTGTGTTGCCTTCATATGTTGCCTTCCCTGCAATGGGAGAAAGCCAAACAGTGATGCTTTAACCCCATGGGATGAGGAGCAAGGTAAGGCGGGTGATGCGGGGCATGGAGCGGCAGCTTCTCCACGTGCCCCGCAAAGAGCCCATGGATTCACCCCAATGCAGGGTGAATCCATGGGCCTTTTTGATGAGGTCATAAATTAAAACCTCTATAAGCTTACATCAACACCACGGGACAAATATTTCAATGTTCAGTAATGCTTCTGGACTTCAATCTTGCAATTATGCATTATATTTATTTATTTATTTATTTACTATATTTATGTCCTACTCTCTCTCACTCCAGGGAGGCCTCAGAGTGGCTTAATATGACAATATTCAATGTTGTATATACAATCAAATAAAAAAATACATAATGTACATAAAATACAGATAAAACATATAAATAATCACACTGGAAATTTATATTAAAATAAATCAGCTTAGGAGTTACGCAACAAACAATTTCCTTGGTTAAAAAAGAAAAAGAGTATGAGAAAAGCCATTTTTCCCATCTAACAAGGAGCAATTATTCTTGTTTATTCAGAAGAGTCCTCCCAGATCCAAGCTGCTTTCATCTGAGTTTGCTAGCAATATCTTTCAGAAGACATTTCATATCGTTTAGCTGTAAAATTTAAGAAAATATGGATTACTAAAGTGAACAAAGCAATAGGATTTTTAAAACTTTGTTTAGATGAGAACCATCCTATTAGCTATTCTTTTGAGCCAGTGAGGTGTGATAGTCTGAATATTGGAAAAGGGATAAAAAAAAATCGAAGATAAACAAATATAGCTGAAGAATCCAAGAATTCAATTAGACTGACTAAAATCTTTGGACTTTGGATCTTATTCTGTGCAAAATTTACATCGTGTTTTTGCACAGAAAATGCTTTTTTTCTGAGGAGATCAATTTTTCTGGATAGAATAATGTCAGCATTTTCACAGAAGGAAGAAAATCATTAAAATTACTGATTACTTATTTGAGAACAAAACAGGTGAAGAATTACATCTGTGAGTGACAATGGTTCAGATTCCATTGCCATGGAAGCCCACTGTGTGGCTTTTGATAAATAATACCCTCTCAGCTTGTCAGAAGAAGGCAATCCAGGTATAAGGTCATAATAAGCCAGAGTTCACTTGGATGCACTCATTAACAACAACATTACTAATGTATCTTTTATGCTACATTATCATAGCACTTTTATACTACTTTAAGCACCATGGTTTTAGCCTATGAAATCTTGAAATGTGTGCTTTTTGTGATATTTTTGAAATTCTATGTCAAAATGCGCTAATGACTCACTAACTAAAATCTGCAGTCTCATGTAGGATAGAGCCATAGTGTTTTAAGTGATATTGATGTGCTCTAACTCTGTAGTGGAGGGGAAAAAACTGCTTAAAGTCTCATAAGTAGTAGAATTCATAACCACAGTTAACTTGTTCTAGTCTGCAAGTATGCAATATAAAAACTAGCCAGTTGTGCTATCTTATCACACCTAACTTTAGCTTTAACTGTTAAAACTCCTTTAAGAAGGAACTGATGGTATACTATGCTTCTGTTTAGATTGTGGTAGACATATTGCAAGATTGCTTGTTCATCTGTGTGGTTTGTTGGCATAGCATTTGTTTATTGCCACTTCCACCACAGACTTGCAGTGTCTCTTCACAAAGGTAGCAGTACAGCTGCTTTGAATTCAAGGTGGGTTGGTATTGCTTCTCGGCCTTTTGGCTAAGATCAAGTGTAGTATCTCTTAGTATTTATACTAAATGATCTAAGTGTTCTTAACTTGCTTTGCGTCATTAATTCTTACAATTTCCTAATCAGAATATACTTTCCATGATGATTAGAATCATCACGGAGAGTAGAAATTAAGGGGAAAAAGATGAAGAAATAGGACTTGCCTAAATTGCTTCTACCAATGTGCTCAGCAAGAAATTTGGACATTTAAAAGCATTTTTAAAATTTTATTAATGGAGGCTAGTATCCTGTGTCGAAGATTGATAGAATTGAGCTGCTGTGAGTTTCCAGGCTGATCAAGATGTTGTGGGCCTTCAAGATTTTTCCAATTTAAGGCTGCTCACGGGGCAAGATCCTTTGAGGAGGGTGTTTTTGCTTCCACTGCAGATAATCTGGATTTTATATGGCAGTGTTGAAGGGGCTTGTGACTGAGGCTGGCTCTACACTGCCCTATATCCCATGATCCGATTCCAGATTATCTGCTTTGATTTGCATCATATGAGTCTACACTGCCATATAATGTGAGATAAGCAGGTCCTAGGATATAGGGCAATGTAGATGTAGCCTGATAGACTATAGCCCCATCGAAGCTGCCATATAAAATTGTAACCGAATGCTTCAGAAACAGTTTTAAACTCTCTGCCAATATGTTTGTGAATAGTTTGTAATCAACATTCAATAATAATTTCTATTTCTGAAGAATTGGATAAAAGAAGATCAAACAGGCTTCCTTCCCCAAAGACACATAAAAGATAACATAAGAATAATTATAGACATAATTGAATTTTATGAAAAAACTATAAAAATAATATGTCCTGATAGCCTTAGATACGGAAAAGGCATTTGACAATGTAAATTGGGTTTTTTTCCTTTTAATAATAAAAGAAATGGACATGGGGCACCATTTCACTAATGCTATAAAATCAATTTATTATAACCAAGAGGATAAAAGTTCAATGAATTGGTTAATGTAGTAATTGTTTATTGTTGGGTAATATGTTAATTTGTTAATTGCTGTTACATTATTGCATTGAATTATTGCTGTTTTTATTGGTTGTGAACCGCTGTGAGTCGCCCTCGGGCTGAGAACAGCGGTATATAAGCAAAGTAAATAAATAAATAAATAAGAGGCTAAAAGTTTCAAGGTAAACAAAGGCACAAGACAGGGATGTCCCTATCTCCCTTGTTATTTATAATATCCTTGGAGATATTAATAAATACCATAATAGAATATAAAAACGTAACTGGAACCAAGATAAGAAAAGAATCCTACAAAGTATGAGCTTTTGCCAATGATTAAATTTGTATCGTGGATGACCCATTGGAAAACATACAAAAACGGATGGATAAAATAGAAGAGTTTGGGATACTTTCAGGACTTAAAATAAATAAGAAAAGGACAATGATACTAATAAAGAATATGACCAAAAAGAGACAAGAGGAACTAAAAGAAAAAAAAACAGGGTTGCAAATTACAAATAAAATCAAATACTTAGGTGTTTACATAACAGTTAAAATGCCTAACTACTGGAAAACAATTATGAAGCAAAAAGGAAAGAAATTTAAAAAAAGGACTTGGAGAATTCGAAACGCTTAAACCTTTCCCTAACTGGCAGAATCTCAGTGATAAAAATGAACATCCTTCCAAAATTGTTGTTTCTTTTCCAAATGATCCCAATATTAAGAAATGGCCAAATTTTCAAAATATGGAACAAAGACCTAACAAAATTTATCTGGCTAGGGATAAAGCCAAGAATAAAATCTATTAATTTAACAGATGAAAAGAAAAGAGGTGGCTTTGGCCAACCTGATCTGAAACTTTACTACGAAGCTTGTGGGATGCTTTGGCTAAAGGAATGTACCAATTTGAACAAAGTTAATACTCCAACATTGGAAGGTTACAATCTTAGAGGTGGTTGGCATTCGTACTTGTGGTACGACGAGGAAAGTTGAAGAGAATTTTGGCAATCACTTTATAAGATCTGCCCTAATTAAAATATAAAAAATAGAATTTATCTAAATGGGGGATCAGGGGAGTGGAGGGGAAGATTGTCATGCAAATTAGCAATTATGAATGGGCAGGTGAATGGCCACCCTCCAGCTAAAAAGGCAGGGTTTCAGCCCCCGTGTAATAAGCAATGCAAAGAAAGCCAGAATTTTATATTTAAATGCTGGACTTCTTCACATTTGGGCCAGTATAGAAGGGCCCTCAGATCAAAGTTGCCAGTGTATCTACAAATATATGGACAACCAAAGGGATGTATTTGGTACCATACAAATAAAACTGTAAGGATAATAAATGTCTATCACACTTTGATGCTAAACATATAAAATATAAAATCATTTAATGATATGGCTTTAAAACAACTAATCCAGTAAATAGCAATAAACATCCAAACTCAAAATGTAAATCAAATTGTTTCACTAAGCACTTCCACAACAAATACACACAAATGGAAGCATAACATATGATAACTTGTACGTCAGAAGACACTTGAAAATACTTGAGGTCTTTATGGGTATCTGGGAAATAAAGTCACATGTAATAAAGTACCTTGATATCCAGTTGTCGAAACTGCTGGGCTATTCTGTAGAAAGAAACAGAAAAAATAGAAAGGAAGTGGATGAGAGAATCACAACCAGAAACATAATTTATGTGTAAGTTCAATGATATCTACATATACCATGCACAGCCCTTTCAGTCTTCCAAAATGAATTTCACTATGTAACAAAATTTGAAAAAAAAAGTTTCTGGTTCGAAAATGTTACTCCTTTTAAATTGTGCAGTAATTACTTTGAAAGAAGAGGAATCGGTGGGAATATGTAGAGGAAACAGTGGTGCCATGTGAAGAGGAAAGCATCCCCTATGCACTGTCTTGTGATTGTCACAAGAAAAGGGGACACTTGCCTTCTCGGTGGTGGCCCCTCGACTCTGGAACTCTCTTCCTAAGGACATCAGGCATGCCTCAAAGTTGGCAATTTTTAGGAGGAGCTTGAAAACGTGGTTGTTCCATTGTGCCTTCCCAGAATAAAGAAACCCCAAGCAATATGTTCCCAAATGCACTTTACTAGAGACCCAGGATATCTGCATGCCCCATCCCCTCCCAAATGCCTACCCTCTTCACCTGGTCATGCCCAGCATATTTTTTAATTTTAATTATTACATTTGGCCCTGCCATAGATTTTAATGCGTCGTGGTGTGTTTTTAATGTTTATTGCTTTGTTTTGAGTCATTTTGTTGTATTGCTGTTGTTGTTTTTACTGTTGTATGTATTTAGGCTTGGCCTCTTAAGCTGCACCGAGTCCTCTGGGAGATGGTGGCGGGGTATAAATAAAAGATTATTATTATTATTATTATTATTATTATTATTATTATTGTGGATGGTGAGATCACTCATGTCCCCTCTAAGGGGTCCTGTTGAGGTGATCGGCCACACAATTGTTTTCCCCTGGCAGTATGCCAACAAAAATATCCTTCTGGCGAGACACCAGTCCCCCATCTGAATGGTGAGAGACAACAGGCTCCCCAAGACTATGCTGCCCGGCTTGTTGATATAAAACATTGTGGTTGTGGGTTGTTGTAGGTTTTTTTTGGCTACATGGCCATGTTCTAGAGGCATTCTCTCCTGACATTTTCGCCTGTATCTATGGCAAGCATCCTTAGAGGTAGTGAGGTCAGACCTCACTCCCTCTGAGGATGCTTGCCATAGATGCAGGGAAAACGTCAGGAGAAATGCCTCTAGACATGGCCATATAGCCCAAAAAAACCTACAACAACCCAGTGATTCTGGCCATGACAGCCTTCAACAATACATTGTGGTTGTGTTGTCCGTAAGAACTTGTACGGTCTCAATGATTAGCCAGGGGTTTCCCCTTGGGTTGCCTCTCTGCAACCCACCTTGCCTGTGGGTGCCACTTGCTGGATCCGTCTAGAGCCCCTTCTTGAGGAAGGCATCCCTTTTGGTCCGTTGGCCGGCACCCTTTGAGCTTTGCTGTCCTTCCAGCTTCAGATCACTGGTAGGAGGGAGCTATTAGTAGTTTCAAGTGATTCTGGGCCTTTCTCAGAAAAGTCAACAAGTTCATGAGGGCCCATGTCTAGGGATGCAAGGGCTTTGGGCAGGGAGAACCCCTGCCACTGTTGAGGGGACAGAAAATTTTCACCCATGAGCAGCCCTAGGCATAGAAGCCTGGGGTGGCCAAAAATAATACATAATTCCTGAGGGGATGCATGCCAACATGTTGTTCTGAGCTCCTATCGCCCCTTTGTAAAAAAAAAGAGGCATAGGGGGGGGGGGGGGGGAGAGACACAGAAACTTGCCAAAGCCCTATGAAAGCTAACTGGTGAGAAAAAAGGCCTGCCAATGGAGTAGAGGCATGCAGTGCCTTGAGACCTCAGCTGCAGGAGAGGAAAAAAACTGACAAGGACAAAAAAGCCTTTTTTACCCGAGCCTCTGGTAGCTGTCCCACCTGTGGAGTGGTGAAATGCCACTGCAGTGATGGCAGGGAGGCCACGGTATTGAAGGAAAGGAATACTGTTGTGTCCAAGTCCTCAGCTGATGCTACTGATTGTCTTCTCCCACCAACAGCACAAGCATGGGGGAGGAAATCCACTGTTGTGCCATGCAGATGCATGGTGTCTGCTGGCTGGATTTTTTTCCTTTGGCAGTGTGGGGGCAGGGGGGGGGGAGATAGCTGTTAAAGCTGCAAGTAAGTTTGTCAGAGGTTCAGATGCTTTGTGCTTCTTTGAAGGAGTGGGAGAGGGTATTGGTTTGTCTCTAATCTTGTGTGTTTATGGAGCTGAGGTCCCTTCCCTCAAACACAGTAAACCTGTATCTTAGAATCATAGAATTATAGAATCAAAGAGTTGGAAGAGACCTCATGGGCCATCCAGTCCAACCCCCTGCCAAGAAGCAGGAATATTGCATTCAAATCACCCCTGACAGATGGCCATCCAGCCTCTGTTTAAAAGCTTCCAAAGAAGGAGCCTCCACCACACTCCGGGGCAAGAGTTCCACTGCTGAATGGCTCTCACAGTCAGGAAGTTCTTCCTCATGTTCAGATGGAATCTCCTCTCTTGTAGTTTGAAGCCATTGTTCCGTGTCCTAATCTCCAGGGAAGCAGAAAACAAGCTTGCTCCTCCTCCCTGTGGCTTCCTCTCACATATTTATACATGGCTATCATATCCTCTCAGCCTTCTCTTCTTCAGGCTAAACATGCCCAGCGCCTTAAGCCGCTCCTCATAGGGCTTGTTCTCCAGACCCTGGATCAAACTTTAAGCTTAGGAGTTGCCATAAAGACAAACTATCCACATCTATACAAGGGAGACAGGAGATAATTCAAAACACAGTCCGAGTCAGCAATGAGAACATACAACCCAATAGAGTAATCTGACAGTTTACAGAGTTGCTGAGGAAACTGAAGCTACTGTGATGTCGGTGGATCACAGGAACTAATGCCTCAATCCCTCCCACTGATTATATGCTTCCTAGGGAGGGAGGGTGTGTGGGGATGCAACCAGAAGACCGCTAGAGCTTGCGAGAAGGTTCCAGAGGACACTGAGCAGGCAAAGGAAGTACCATCAGTGTGACTTTCACAGAGACCGTGATGAAGAAAGGCGATTAAAGCATAAGTGATCTAAGACTGCCAGCAATAGTCCCTCTTAAGAGGCTATCAAAAAGTGTAAATGACACTCAGCATTGTTTCTCATTGAGGGCAGGCTGCCTATTCTAAGTCAATATCTGCTGTGAGATATACATGCAATATCTAAGGGGCAATCCTTCTCCCTTTTTGTTCTAGGTCACATCATTTTACCACTGCTAAATAAAACACCCCCTCCTTCTTTCTTGACAATAGTCCAATGTGCTTCTTTCTTTCTTTCTTTCTTTCTTTCTTTCTTTCTTTCTTTCTGAGGTTACATACTCTAAACCGTAAGACCCATATTTTGCATCAGAGTTAAGTTGCAACATATTATTAACACCACAATTACTACTGCTCATTCTTCTCTCTGTTTTGAAATATGTGAATCAATATAGTGCTGGACTTTAGGAGTATTAAGCCCAGCAGATAATACATTGTTTCATTTCTAGTGTAGGTTTGAGAATAAAATATGTGGCATTCGGTTTGAATAGGTGGGACAGATGAAGAAAAATAACATACTCTTCTGATGAGTCATTAGCTTTCATATTGATTTTGACGAGATAATTTTCTTTCATGACAGCTTCCCATGCCAGAGTTTCATTATCCTCATTTCTTGAACCTTCAAGATACAAAATGCACAGATGATTTATTGACAAAATAAATATAAATCAGTAGAATGCAACTAAAAGGGTTTCAGGTCAAATATAGGGTGCTTTTGCAAGTCCAGTTCAGTGCATGCTTATATAGAAGTCGTACCTATTATCGTAAATAGGGCTTACACACATAAATATGCACAGATCCACAACTCAACTCCAATATTTGAAACTGAAGAGATATATCTCCTTTTCAGCTTGCTCTTGAAAGTCCCCAATGATTGCGGGCATACTGAATCAAAGCTCCAGTTGCAAGGAAAAAGATTAAATGGTTGACGTTATATGCCTCCGAACATATCGCTGCTGCTGCTTTTACTCTCAATTTTGAGAGTTGTTGTTAATCATTTTATCTTGTTTTAAAAACTATCAGGCACCATGTGATCAATTCAGTTTGAATTTAGCAGGAGGACATACATGCTAAATTCACCAAGATGCACCCCAGAGAAACTGGTTCAAGTTTGAATGATACCATGAGAGAGGGTGCAGTTGCCCTGCCTCCAGTCCAGCTTCCCGGTGTGTTTTCAGACAACATCAAAATGCAGGTTTTAAAGTGGAGCAAAAAATCCTGGGACCTGACAGCAATTCCACACACAGACCTGTCAGTCCTGGGAAATGGTCCCTGTCATCCTCACACCTTCCTTTGAAGTGGATCTTGATAGAGGGCAGATGGGGGATATTCAGCAGAAGTTTTTTTTTTTTTTTAAAAAAAAAAAGGAAATTCTCTTCAAGATGTGCTAGATCTCATATGCACACATATGAACACACACAAGCAGATTTCTCATTTCTCTCTTTACCTAACTGTAAATTCAAGCTCTGTTTAATATTATAAG